AGCGTGACGGTGCTAAACAGAGACAAATGGTGTGTGCGCGATAAGATCCAGAGAAAACAAAAGACCAGTTTTCCTTCAGATTACTTCAACATAAAGCCTGATATGACTCTCCCCTTTGAGGGTTTCCTCTGTTCGCGCTTCGTTTTCTGTCTCCTCACTTTTATACAGCCTTTCTCTTCCTTTTCCATGCTGACTCAGTTCTGTTTTTACACTTGGTCTGATGCACTGATTATTCTTCAAATATAAATACTGCCACTTTGTACTTGGAAAGCATTTTAATAGCCTGTCGTGAATGAAATACGTCACCTGTCTTGATACAATAAACTTAAAAGAACCACAACTTTTCGGTGGTTTAACTGAGCATATTGCCTTTATCACCTTCCACCACTCAAACCTCATTTATGCTCCATTAGCAGCATGTTTCTATATAGCTTTTGTCTTTTTCAACCTGTGGACAGAATACACTGTCTTGCATACTCACAGTATTAATAAGACATATCATGTTGATATACAAACTTAATAATATATATTGGTGCCCTGTCTGTTTAAACAAGTAATGCAGGATCTTGGACTTTAGGATTCACTCGTCTGAAAAAAATTCCAACAAATTTGGCCACAAAGCTGGAAAATATTCAGCTTTTAGTGCAAATCAATACTTCTAAAGAAGCAGTTCAGCACTTCTTTAAAACTTCTGTCTTCTGAATTGACGCAGAATCAAGACTTCCCTAGAAAACACTGAAATCACTTCCCACACATACCAACTGTAGACTTCAGTGAAGTGATAAAGGTGGAGCCTGATGTTTAAAGGCCTTTTTGTCCTTCTTTGACTCATTGTGATTAATAATGTCATGGCAGACCTCTTTTTAAAAACCTTCTTTCTGTTCTCCTCTGTCCCTTCAGTGCAGCGTTGCTCTTCCAGCTTTGGTGGGAGTGTTCGCTGCACGCTTAAATTGGACCATGACCTCATTGTGTTGCAGCTCCGCTGTGCTCTGCTCGTCCTGTTTGTTTGGATTGTGGTCACCGTCTCCCTCCCAGTTACCTTTAACCCCGTCTACCCTGCTCAAAGTGGAGAAGCTGACACGCCCACATTCACACACACGCCTGCTTCGTACTAATGTCACTTTAATCCTGCTGTTTCTCTGCTTAAACTGGTTAATTAGGACTTTTATCGGGAAACACATTAGAGGGAAGGTGTGTGGAAGCATTGAATTGACTATTTAAGATGAGGTGAGGACAGCTGATGTAGATCAGCAGGGTTATCTACTGACCTACACGATCTCCCACAAACGAACACAAACTCTGCAGAGTCATGGAAGGAAGGATTCCCCTTGAGGGAGTATTTCTTATCATATCCCCACTCACATCTTACCTTCTCTTTCATTTTTGTCCTCTCCGTGTGCACATTGAGATGGCACATAATCTGCTTATCTGTCACTTCCTGCTAATAAGCTTTGACTCGTCTAACCTAGCAACCACTTAAAGGTGAGACCGATGGTGGAAAAACCCCAGCAGGTCAAAATCAACGTCACGACACTCAGGTAGACACAGGTATTACCAAGTAGATGAAAGCATCTGTGAAACAGGGACTCGAACTGTTGTGACTTTGTTTCTGTGCCTGTGTGACTGATCAGATCTGCTTTAATCCCAATGAGTCAGTGTCTGGACTTATTACACAGACAGATTACGATCAACAGGGTGTCAGGAGGTGACTTCAGAGGCGTGTACTGTAAAGTTCAACATAACCAGGCTTTCTTGACAAAACCTAAAACAGGTTTTGTCAAGTCTCTCACAGCACAAAAGGAGTTGTTGACTGAGGTGGAAAACTGAGTATTTGGAGCTTTCAGCAAAAATACCAAATTGAAAGATCAGGTTGGGCAAAGAAATAAAAATAAATAAATAAAGGTTTATTTTATGTGTCACAGATTTAAGAATAAAAACTAATTATTATTATTAAGGATTGTGTTGATCATAGTGTACTAATTAATGAAGGACTATAGCAGTACCACAGTGCTAAAACTGTACATACTTAGGTGTCACTATAGAGGCTGAATAATAGCTCAGTAAACATGCATGCATGATCATTTTTATTATCTTGTTTTGTTGTTTGCAGTGATTTCAAATTGCTTATTTTTATGCAACAACTTGAAACCCCAGAAACCCTCAAAAGGTAAAACAGTAATTTCTTACTTTTGAGAACTCAAACAAATGAAGCTAAAAAACAAGCTAAATTTTCTTTTAATCCATTTAGTGACCTACTTCAACTCATAAACCATCAATAAATGCACGGGATTCATAATTTCAGGCAGTGACCGCCAAGTTCCCCCTGAAAAGATCCCCATATTTTCTTTTGTAATCAGGTAAGCATGCATTAGAAGAGTAAAGTAAATGTAGCTGCAGAGAAGTAAATCTGTCAGATTAGTGTTATCCTTAAACATAAAGCACTTTAGCGCGGACCTAAACTGGCGTTGCTGTTTTTTCTCAGAGCCATAAACCTCAGTGTTTGCACATGCTGTATTGGCACCTTGTCTTTACTTTGAGCACTGTGTGCGTGTGTTATCCATATAAGGGTGTATGTGCCTTCAAAGCCTGCCTAGATTCTGCTGTGCGTGCGTGCGTGCGTGTGTGTGTGTATGTGGTTTTTAATAGATGCTGCGGAGAGCTGCACTATGCCCATGTAAGCTCAGACTGCTGGGGAATTAAAGTCTGTCTAGAGCATCTGCACTGGCACTCTCATATATAAACAGAAAATAATAGAAATCAGGTTTAAATTCTGCTTTGAACATCTGGAATCCACTGCTTTGAGACTTAAAGTTGTAGCTTTAAAAAATTATGTGACTGGGAGTAAAAAAACAACATCTGTGGAGAGGAGCTGATTATTTACTCCGTTGTTCTATAATCTGCTGATAATTTTTTGACATTAAAATTTGAAGATGTCAAGTTCTCGGCCACACAATTAATTGGTTTTATTATAGGAAGACAATGTTTGGCTTTTTAAAGAGTTTAGATGAGCTGCAGTGAGCTTTCGATAAGTCAAAGCGGTTAGACCACAAAGGCCAGGCAGAACATCCATAGGATTTACCCCCTTATAGTTCTTATAAAGGAGGATGCTGCTTTTAGAGGATAAGATGATTTTTGTTTTACATGTTAAAATATTTTTGCCATTTTAAGATGGGAGTCTTTGGATATTGATTCACTTTAGAGTTATCCTAAAGTGGCAACTAGAGGAACTGCAGTCTATAGCCCTTATATGTTAGTTGTTGCTTGGGTACTTCCCCTGAGCCCCAATTGTAACACATGGAGGCTTTCCTGAAAGGTTTAAGGAAACATTTAAACCTTCCTCGTGGTCATTTATAACTCCAAAACATCAGTATTCAGGTTTAAAGTGGGTAACAGCTGTTATTTGAGCTACATATGAATCACTTTCTTACCTCTGAAAAGCGGCCATGTGTCTTCAGAGGCTTCTAGAAACCATTTTATTTGGCTCTGAGGTCAACATCCCTGACTTTACAACCCATTATGTAACGTATTTGTTTCATGTGACCTGAATTACAGTTTTACGCACGTAGCCTGCAGTTACATATAATGCATTCTCATTTAGGATTCATTAAAAGGGTTTGGATGTGTATGTTTGTGTTCTCATATTGGTTCTTTTTGTCTTTATTGTGAACATTTTCTATCAGCTGACCTAAGTTTGGACCTTCCCCACCCTCTGGCCTCCCCCTATCTTCTAGGATTATTTATAAAACCACAGTGCTGATGTGTGATCTGCGACTCTCACAGTGAGGTCTGTTGTGTGGCTGACTTGTCAAACATACATGCCACACACATCACAGGCTGTTTGAATCGGTTATGCATGCTCTTCAAGTCCACGTGGCCTCCGGTCAGTCAGACGAGACGTCTCTCTCCTTAAAAACACTTTTTTTTTCTTCTTTTTTTTTTTGTGCTGTTTTGTTATATTTTCAAATGCAATTCTCATGAAGTGTTAGCTCTTTCCTCCAGGATGTTTTAGTCTAAAATTAGGAGTCAGTCGCTTATCATGAGACCTACACTGATGTAAAAAGGTGTTTTTGTCATGTACTCGCCCTCCAGTCAGAGCTGTTAGTTTAAAAATAAATAAAAAAGCAGACGCTTGACACCTGTTCCTGTTTATATTCACAGGAAGGTATATTTTGACAAAATATATTCATGACAAATATAAGTGGGGATTACATTTTGTCTGTTGCAGAGCACTTATATCAACAAACATGATCTTAACAAGTTTACTCTTCTCAAGCTGATATGTAATTTAAAAAAAAAAGCTGGCTTGTTGCACGTATAAAACTGGGCTAAATATGATTGGGTTTAATACTATTAAATAGCTTTATTTATTCATTTATCCATCCATTTTCTGCCTGGGAACACCGGATAACCAGATTATATCATCAAAATTTAATAAGCATAGTATAAAAATCAGATGATAGAGGTTAAAAAAATGCTTGATTTGATTTATGTTAGCATGACTTGTTTGTTCGAATCCTTTTTTTAAATTTTTTTGCATGATGAGAAAAATATGAAACTCTACACATTTCGAGCTGTCGGGGTGCTCGTTGCTTTCCTTAATGAACTTAAACAGAAACGAGGATTGTGCAGAAGCAGAGCTTCTTCTTGGCAGCTCTACACTCACCCTGAGCACCTTGGAGCTCTGGTTATCTGTTTTAAGGCTTGTTTATAAAGAGATCTTTTTGGTTTTAAAGTTGTCTCACCCACTTGAAACCAACAAGAGATACAGTACATTATGTCAGAGTAATGTGCACAGCTTTGTAGTATTGCCGTGTATCATCCTGTAAAATCAGAAAATAAAACGCTGGTTCTTGATTTGGATTAGAAAGAATTATTCCCTCCCTCGTTTTTGTGTCCCACCGCTGTTGTCTAAACAGAGGATGTATTGTTTTAATAGTCCTGGCTGGTTTGTGACTTATCATGTCGCGTTTCCTTTCCTTCTTTGTCCCTTTTCTTCTAAGGATGTGGAGAAGGAGAGAGAGTTGCGGACAGAGTTCAGCAAAGAGGAAATCTGGCAGAGAATCGAGCAGTACAACTTGCTAACCAAAGACCACCTTAAAATGACGCTGGTGAGTATAATATGCACACACGCACACACACTCACGCAAACACACCTTTTTAAAAAAACAAAACCCATCAACCAGGGCTGTCTTAATGGTTCCACGCTCCAGACTCCTGCAGAGCTGTGCAGGCTCTAAATCTCAGATTTTGAAGTTTATAATGTTGCTGTGTTACTTCTGCCTCCCTCCTGCTCCCAGCATTCCTCAGTGCTCGCATCAGAGTGATGTGATGTTATTCCTGCTATTGTTCTCGCCCCGCAGTGTTTTCATTGGCAGCGTGACAGGTGTCTGAAGTTGTCTCTCTCCACTTCAACTCAGAGTGAATTTCAGTAGAAATGAGAGATGTCAGGTGAAACTGGGGTTTTCTGGCCGTTAAAGCACCACATGAAAGAATGCAAGCATTTTTGAAGGAGCGGCAGGTTACAGAGGATGTTTCCTGAGGTTTTTTTCCCTTAGTCATGGAAAATCATCTATTTTCAGACAAGGAGTTAAGCTGACCGCACTCTTAACAGATGGGAAACGGCACATCTAAAGGCCAGTAGATTCTAGTCTGACACTCAGAGGGGAGCCCAGACATAATAACTGAGTCTGTCCACTAAAAATCACATTTTAACTGGCCAATAAAAAGTTTACATTCATTTATACATTTGAATATATGAGTTTTTAGAATATAAAGACAATAAATGGACAAAAAAGCTGCATAGACACATAATATCAGCTTATATTGGTCACTCATGCCCAAATCAGCATGTATGTAATGAGATCAAATGCCATACTACTAGAGCATTATATAAAGATTAAAACAAAGTGTTGTCTAAGGCTAATCTGTGCAATTTTCCAGTTGATAATAAAGTCTGTTGGGAACTTGAGCTACCTTTAAACACTCCATTGTTAATTACTTGTCATTGTTTTGCTTTTTTATAACTGAGAAAAAAGACAAACTCACTGATTAAGGAAATAATGATGATACTTTCCAAAATATTTTATGCTGAAATGAGTCATAACTCAAAGTGGGTGTATTCACAAGATGCTCATCGTGAAACTTTAACTTTCACAGTCAGTTTGTTCCACAGTCATTATAATAATGTCTGTAAATGGGTTTCAGAGCTCACATTCAATCCTTTAAAAAAAAAAAAAAAGTCTAAATGTTTATTTTCATTTATATTTGTAAAAAAACTGAGAACTGAGAATATTTGTTACTTTTGCAGTTAATAGATCATCAGGACAGTTTAGAGCCGATTGCTCTGCATATTTTAAGTAGTGAGTGGATGAATGGGTAGTTTCACTATGAGAAGCCTGCATGTTTCTGTTTCAGCACACCTTTTCTGTCCAATTTCCGTCTTCATTCTTTAGGATTTGTCTTTCTTGTTCATCCCGTTTTTGTCTTTTTATCATTCCATCTTTGACGTCTACTTGTTTTTTTACTTCTCTTCATTCTTGGCCTCTTTGTCTACTCGTGACCTTCACACACACTCCTCCCAGCCCCATATGGAGTAATGAGATTAAGATAGTCTTCCTCCATCTGGGGCCATCTGTCCTGCAGGTCACACTGGGCTTATTGGGTGAACTGGGCTCACTTAGAGAGATCATGTAGCAGCTACCATAGTGGCCACATTAAAACATTAACTCTGTCTCTGTCAGGGTGCGGGCGGTGTGTACACGGGTTTCATCAAGGTCCAGATGGATTTGCGGAGGCCAATGACGGTGCAGGGAAGTCAGACAAGAGCTGGGGAGGCCTTCTATCTGCCCCAAGGAGTCTCCAACACCCTTCATGTCAGCTCTAAAACCACAGTCAAAGAGGTTGTTAATACACACGCAAACACACACATGTGAACACACTGCAGCCTGCTTAATAGGTTAATTAAGATTTGATGACAGACCGGTTGAAGTCGAGAGACAGACAGGGCTAAGTTCATTGATTTCACTCAGTTTTGTATGTTCTTTATCCTTTTAAGCAATAAATTAACGACAAAGCAACACAAAAATCTTCTAGAAGAGCTGTCAAAGTAATATTGACGGGTGTTTTTCTTTCTCGCGTGTCTTCAGGTGATCGTCGGCTTGCTGAGCAAATTCACAGTTGCAGACAACCCGGCTAAATATGCCCTGTACAAGAGATACCGGCGGGAGGAGCAGGGTAAGACTGGGTGTGAGAGACGGGGTTTCATGCCACTATTGCCACGCTCGGTATGAGGTGTGTGTGTGTGTGTGTGGGCCTCACCCTCATGTTGGATGCCAGAGGCTCTCCCTACTATAACAGCTCACCAGGGATACCCACACATGCAGATATAAATACAGCGCACATCCATGCTGTGAATGAGCAGCTGTTACAGGCTGTTGGGTGTCACACGATGTCTTTCAGTGAGGAGAAGACAGTTTATTAACCTTATGCATTGATTTAAAACTATAAACACAACCTGCAGATGCTTGTTTGAAGCTTGTGAGTCATTTCAACTCAAATTTTTATAGATTTAGAGTGTTTTTGTGTGTTTTCTCCCCCTTCTTTAAACGCTCCTGTTCTGGTTTGCATTCATGACTGGAGACGTACAGCTAATAAAAGACAGAGTCTAGACAGACGCCTGACTGCAGACACTTGAGGACTTTTAATGAACTTGTCTGGTGTTTCAGGAGAAAAGTTAAGTGTCTGAGATTTAACTGCGGTCTGGAAATGTAGAAACATCTTCGACTTTGTTTCAAATTGAGACGAGACGACTCACGATGTGGTCGAGGAGAACTTGGATATGTAAAGAAGAGAATCATTTGAACCAAAGCTTGTAGGGATGTACAGGGTGCAGAAACATCTCCTTCAATTGTTTTGCTTCTGCTCACTGTTTTTTCTTTAGCTCTTTGCTTTTATTTTAATCCCTTCTGAAAGTTAGAAATCCTTAAATTGTAAATCTTCTAAACCAATAAATGATGGTCAACATACAAATATGCAGAATTTGTTAGGAAGAGACAAAAGATGCAATTGTAAGCGACACACAGAGTCAGACTGTTTTCATCGCTGTCGGTTAGTACTGCTTTGTCAGAAAACCGGTCTTTGTTGTGTGTGCTGTGGCATGCATTAAGGCAGAAGTGATGCTGATTGGTCACTCCTTTGAGATTTTGTTAACGAGCAGGGTTACTGGTATGCCAGTGAGGGTTTTAACCCAAACTGCAATCTTTTCCTAACCCTAACTAAGTAGTTCTAAAACACAAAGTGCTCAAAAGGAGTAGAAACCAGAGTCTTCTGGCTGTTAACCCAAGAAACGATGCCCCCAGCACTCTCCAACCTCCTTACAAGGACTTTGCATCTTTGTTAAACATGAGCAATACTTTTGGGGCCAGAGGGCTAAAGGGCACCTTGCAGAAGGAACATCACAAAGTGTCACTGGGCTGAGAACACACTGATGAAGCAGGAGGTCTGTAAATGAATATACACACTACCCTGACATCCTAATTACACCGTAAGCCCTGAAAAATCGGCTTTTGTCCTCGGTTGCTGTCAGCAGACAAACCGATGAGTTTTCAGATTGAGGTTTGGAAATATGTGAATGTCAGAATAATCAAGCCTCTAGCACCTTCTACATCTTTTGCAGATGTAAATACATTGCTGGCAATAACAGAATCTGTCCCTCACTGTCTGTTCCTGTAAACTACCGCACGGTAATATGGCGCTCCCATCCTTTCATCCTTTGCCAAATCCATTTATATGTGCACAGAGGAACAGCTGCCTGTGGTTGCATGCAGCGTGCATACTGTACAGACTAATTAAATCTGTTTGTGTGTGTGTGTGTGTGTGTGTGTGTGTGTGTGTGTGTGTGTGTGTTTTGCAGTTTATACATGCAAATTGGCGGATGCTGAGAAGCCGTTGTTTCTTCGCCTGGTGGCGGGACCCGACCCAGACCTGCTCAGCTTTGTCCTGAAAGAACAGCAGACGGGAGAAGTCATGGTAACACTGATTATCACCACATTTCAGCTTTATTGACATCTTCCTGGCCTCTGTGCTCTTTCGTCTCCGAGTTCAGCCATTCCCAAACGAGACGCTGCTGTGGCCCATTTCAAAACTTTAAACTCTAATGCACAATTCTTTTGTGTTTTCATTTGATTTAGATCTTCTGAGGATTTACTTATTGAGGCTGACCTGCCATAAACTGTTTGATCTCAAGTATCTCCCAGCATTCGCTCTTAACAAACCTATGAGTTTATGATTTTTTTTTTTAAAAAAGACAGAAAATGAACAAGTACCTCTTTTTTTTTTTTTTTTTTTAATATCCCCATGACTTAAATATTCAATCGCAATTTTTAAGCAAAAATGACAAAAACTGGCAAAGAAAGTGACTGTAAATTAATTCTGTAGTACCTTTACAGCCCAACAGGGGGCCACAGTGTTTGGCAATCACCATCCTAGTCTTTTTTTCCCCGTTCCTTTTAAATCTTTTACTTTAAGTTATCATTGTACATTATTGTTATCATTCTATATTCAAACCTAGCAGCTGACTATTTAAAAAAAAAAAAAGAATTGTTTTCCTAGTGAAACTTCTATCTTGTTATCCCAAGATGGATGCTACGCATAAAAAGAGAAATAACCACTCCTACTGTACTATCAAGCATCATCCATAGACATATACTTTATCAATTAAAAAGGAAAAAACAGAACTGAGCGAAGTTTTCTTGCTTTTCTCCTCAGTGGGATGCCTTCTCCATCCCTGAGCTGAAAAACTTCCTGCGGATCCTTGAAAAGGAGGAACAGGAGCAGAAGGACGCAGTAATTCGTCGCTATGAAACCTACCGGCAGAGACTGCAGGAGGCACTGCTGGAGGTCAGGGGGCCTTCTTAAGAGGATATAACCTCCTTGAAAAAGGACTACTGCCCCCTAGAGGGACGAAGGGGATGTTTTGTTTTGTTTTTCATTTTTAATCTCCTGGTGTACATTTTGATGGAGGGAGGGATGTGAACACAGAATCGGGAGAGAGGATCCAGCACCTGGAAGAAGGGATAATAAAGGATGACAAGAGGACAGAAAAAAGAGACTGCAAATAAAAAAGACGAACAGACAGAATTTTGGTTGCTGGATTCAAGATTTCAAACTGCTTCCCGCTCGGCTCCGTCTGCCTGCAAACACCAAAGATTCACTCACTGTGCCATATCCGTTCATCCTCTTCCCTGTTCGCCGTCCATCCCTCTCTTCTTCTTCTTCTCTCACTCTGTCCTGCTGTCACATAATTTATGCAGTTCATCCTTTTTGTTTCCCTCACCTTTTTATCCTTTGAACTTGTGAAAGACTCAAGGTTGAATTATTTTTATTTAACTTGTGTGTTTTAAAGGTCTGTACATTTTTTTTTTTTTTTAATTTATATGGGTGAAGCTTTTTATTGCTTTTTGTTTTTCTTTTTAAAACAAAGTCTTATTTTTGTTTTATTGTAGAGGCGGAGCAACAATCTGCTTGTTGACACAGATGCTGAGAATAGTTTTTTCAGACTTCAGCAGGACACAGAAAATCCAAACATCAGAGCATGACAGACCATTTAAAAAAAGTTATTATCATAAAATGGAGTTATTTTAACTCACAGTAGTTGTAAAAGTAAATACTGATTCCAATAATAATAGCTCTAATTACAAAGAATGAAAATGGATTGGAGTTCTTCTGGATTTATCCGTTCCAAAAACATGTCCAATCAAAAATATGAATCTGAGAAGAAATTCTTATTATATTCGTTATCCATTTATATGGAATTTAATTATCTGTTCATATTTTTTGGCACATTTAGGACTCCATAAAAGCCAGCCTGAGATTGTTTGCATGAAAGAAAGGAGAAATGAAAGCTGATGTAACGGAAAACAGATGCAGGAACTCTAGAGAGATTTTTAATAGGAAGAGTAAAAGAACGATAAGATGAGTCTTAACTGGAACTTAACAGGAAGTAGTTTAGTTTTGGTTGCAGTTTGTAAAAAACTTAAAAAAAAACGCTGTTTGTTTTTTCATGTGGAGTGAAGATGAACTGGTGGGATCTGAAGCCTTTGTGTTTTTTCCACCACCAGCAGAGTTTCGTGAACCATGAGCTGAATAGACTAAAGCAAACTGCTTGAACTTTGACACCCCCCCCCCCCCCCCCCCCCCCAACCATGTGGTCAGTGTGGAGATTTGACAGGTTTCTGGAAGTTGACTGAGCGGTTCAGAGGAAGTTGAAAAGAAACATTAGATGCAGGAAAGACAAAAACTAGGGGAAGATAAATGGCACGAGGAGCTAATACATGGGAAAGACTGTCATACAAGCAATGTGACCGTGGCCTTGAGGACCGTGACGGGGGTTTCCTCCAACCGCAAGTCACTTTGATTAACTGCTTGTTCACTTTTTGCATCACGTGAGCTCCTCGAATCAATGAGTGCAAGAAAAGGAGGTCTGTGAGTGCTGATAGCTGCTGAGACCAGAGAGGAAAAACAGCGGCATTGTGTGCGTTTCAACCCGTCTGTCAGCAGGCATTCATTTAAAACGCAACTTTTTGATACGCTTATCTTGAACTAAAATGTGCAGCCTTGACCTCATAAACCTCTCTTAAGGATAAAATAAGAGTGGGACACAAATCAAGGCACGCAGGACTGTAGTAAACATGAGGGTTTAAAGGCAGAAAAACTAAAGAAATGCATCAGAGTGCAAAAGAAGGCTCAACGAGAAAAGGGTTTTCTTAAGAAAAGGCCTTAAAAACCTGTGATATATATATGCAATATTTTTTGTGACGATGTAATCTATCAGTTAAAAGTCAAAGAGGCTTTTTCTTGTTTGCGTGGAATTTTTTTATTTATTTTTTTTTTGGGGGGGGGGGGTAATTTTAAAGAAAACAGTCAATAATCTGGACAAACAAGTCAAAACATTAATGTTCATTGCATTTTATCTTTATGTTGCAAAATGCTGTTTGCTGTTTGAGCTGCAGGTACTAAATGATGTCAAACTGAGGGTGCTGCAGGGCGTTTCTGTAGGAGACTGTCGCCATCTAGTGGTCAAACACGCCAACTGTTCTCTTGCTTCTGTGTCAAACTTGATTTATCTTATAGAGTTATTTTGTTTTTATTTTTGTTATAACCAAAGATATTTTTTTGTGTTGTTGCCTGGAGCAAAACATCTATTAGGGGCCTCATCCCACCAGAGGGAAAAACATACAGTATATATAGTTTAGAGGTTTTATTTAAAGGGGTTTTAACCCCAGTTTCTTCTATTATTAAACACTGGGTTAATATTATGGAAGCAAAAAAGGGCCTTTAGAATTTAAATGAATTAATTTTATATATAATCTCTGGGTTATCATGGGCAAAAGTCCAGCATTATAAACTTTAACACGCAAGGTTTAAAAGAGAAGGCGGCCAACTGGAATATGTTAGAAAATGTTGGATTATGGGAAATGTAGTATCTATTGATTTGGAGCATTTCTTGGTAAAAGTTGAAACACCCTGACCCTTTCCTTCTCAGAATATCAGCATTTTTTTTTAAATTCCTTTTTCAGTGTCTTGTAGAAATTCCCAACTTTTATGTAATTTCCAAAGACAAAACTCATTTAATAACTTAATGGTTACATGTAAATACAAGAAATTAAAATTTGGAGGTCTTTTTAAATATTAATTAATTAATATTAATTAATTTTTAGTATGTCATTTGAAAACTTTGAGTATATAATTTTAATTATTGGTGGTTTTACTTTTTCAAGGTTAACAAATTCAGAAAACAAAATACAATTATTTTGGCCCTCTTTTGCTTCCATACTTTATAGTTGTAAGTGATGCGAAAGTCTGAATGGAAACAGTAACTGAATCTTGAAGCCATGTTGTTGCTTTTTGTGTATCTCATAAACAACTTTAGCTGTTAAAACACATCATCCCCGACTATTTGCATGAAATTTAATTTTTGGGGCACTTTAACTTTGAATTCAGGGAAAACGGGTTTTTAAAATTTAATTTTTTCTCCTGTGTACCGCGATCACATGCTCTACTTTATCTTAACATCTAACACACTATAATCTTATTATTCTTTTTCTGTTTTAACTGATGAAAGTATAGTGTGGCAGAAGTCGACGATTGTGAGGTCATTTAATAAGTTTTGGTCTCAGTGAGCTTCCGTAGGATTTCGCTCAGAGTTGGCTGTGAAATATTTTGCTTACTGTAAACAATCCTGGGCTGTTCAACATTAAAAGCATGCGTTATTTTAGATAAAACAGCAGTCGGACAGCGTCTGGAAAATAGTTTTCAGATGCTGTGTACCTGCTGCTGATAGAAATTAGGATTTCTGAGGAATTATGTCATGGAAAGCTTTTTGGGCCAGTAGTGTTCATGTATGAAGATCAGATATAATACCTTGTGTGTATTCAGAGATGTTGTTTTTAAGGCTGTTCAAACATACCTAGAGTCTGATAGCGTGCAAACCATTGGCTCCTTAGTCTTAATTGAAATATTCTTATACTTTCTGTCATTTTACACTATTTAAACCTGTTTTCCTTGTTAGCATATGTTTTATTTCTTTAGATGTTGCTGAAATTTGACTATTGTTCTGATTGTTAGGCTAATTTGGATTAATTCTTTATAAAAACATCACAAAATCATCAAGCCTGTTGAATGTTAATATTTTTACGCTTCATGCGTATTTAAGAGCTTTCAGCCTTCCCTTTGCTTTTCTTTGAAACTAGCTTCACATTTTCACTTTTAGTATTTTTTTGTCCCCAAACTGGATATAAATTTATATAGGATAATATAGTGTAAAATGACAGCTCAGAAAACATTCACGAACTTTACATGTAAGAATATGTATTACTTCATTGTTTTAAATCTTTAAATCTTGTTCTTTAAAGACAAACGAAAAAACCCAAACAAACTAAACTAAATTCGTTCACAAGCTTAATTTTCTGAGCAGTTTTGAAGCTTCTCTTCTCAGATTTGTGCGCTTGGGTCTGAGGTTTGAACATCCACAAACTGTTGTGTTAAATGCCAAAGACCTGTGTTGTTGAAGCTCTTCCTGATTTTTTCCCAGTGATGCTGTTTTTGTTGTTGTTGTTGTTGTTCACCCAGACTCACTATAGAGAAGCGATACACCTTTTCAGGTTTATGACGAGCTTGAAAACACAACGCTAACTCTGTTGTTCTACACTTGAGTTAAAAAAAAAATCTAAAGGGTTTTCTGGGTAAAGGTTTCAGATCTGAGCTGCAGTTGGAGCTCGGTCTGAAATGTCCCGATCTCTGTGCCTTTGTACAGTTCAACAGCTGCGGGCAAACCTGAAGGAGAGACTGAAGGTCTCATCGTGTTCTCTCTCCGTAGGCTGAGGCGGGTTTATTTTTGTAGGTGATTTCAATCGTTACCAAATGTGGCCTTTCCTCACGGCAAGGCGGGCTTCATCTATTAAAGGTGAAATTATAAAAGAAACTTAAAGGGTTGTGTGATTTTTGTCTTCTGTTTCAGTTGTTTACTCATTATTTTACTCAGTTTTACTAAGAATGTGACCCCATTCCTTTTGAATTATCTGAGCGTACCTACTTGTTCTTCAAATGGTCTCACTTCAGACTTTTTATTTACAAATAAGCCATGTTGTTCAGGGCTGTGGACAAGTATTTGTCCACTTCCTGATTTCTTTGGGGTTTTTTGTGTGTATTTGTCACACTTAAATGTTTTAGATCAGGGGTGTCAAACTCAATTGCACAGGGGGCCAAACCTCAAGGCACACTTTAGGTCGTGGCCCAGTTAAGAAAAACATTCATTGAACACACTAAAACAATGTTTTTCTTTAAAACATAAATATGAATAAAAACACTGGAATATAATTCAAGAATAAATAAACTTTAACTTTAAATATTTTGCTCTCCATAAAAATATATCCTGTCAAAATTATGCAAGTTAGAAATATGAACATGCTGCCAAAACCCCAGAAAAAATAAATGAAAACATATACAAGGTTCGAGCCGCATGCAGACAGAGCTGGGGCATTGCTTCAGGAATAGAACTAATAAACTCTGAAGACCATTCAGTGTCGTGCTTTCCCTTGAGTGTCCCATTAGAATGCAGCTCCATCTGAATCTGCACAGGTGCAGTTTCCACGTCAACTGTAAATGGATTGTGAAGCAGCTCGAAATTCTCATTTTGTGCTTCAAAGTCACCAAAGCGCCACGCGAACTCAGTGCGCTCCGTTTATCAGCAAAGTGCGCATTTGTGAATACTGTTGCGCTGACTTGGTTCAACATTACTTGGCAACAGGGAAAGTGATGCAGGTTGCACTGGTGCATTTGTGATAGCTTCACTTGAAATGCCTTCATCGCATCATGCCATGCCCATGAACTGACAGATTTCCTTGCTGAGTTCAAAAACCCTATTGAGAATTTTTCCCCAACTCAGCCAACGGACCTCTGTATGATGGCATGTCGGCAAACTCTGAATCTATTTCCCACACAAAAGACTGAAATTGACGGTGATTTAAACCTTGATCTCAGATAAAATTTACGGTTTGCGTCACGGTGATCATTACATGTTCCATTTTTAGGACTTTACCACACAGCGTTTCCTACCGCGGTAAAGTGAGCCGCGGTCAAGCCAGCCGCCTCTTATGGTGTGTTCACACCGAACGCGATGGACGCGAATAGAGCGTCAGGTTTACATGTAAAGTCAATGGAAAGGCACGATGACGCGCGATTGCGGGTCCCGCG